TATATAAATAAAAATGTAATGTTCGTTTGTTCCTACCGATTCCTTTGAAATTTTGACACAACGCTGCATTCGAATACGCACGTGTTTTTATATAATATACGTGTCGAAATTCCCCCCACTGAAGGGAGATGGTTAGGATTAAGGCTTACGGTAAAGAACTCTGCTTCTATTTATACTATTTTAGATGAGGGTTTTTGCATTTTTGATTGCGTTTTAATAGGGTACATCAAGAGAATGTACACTAAGAAGAAATTTTTCGAAAATTTCCCCCCCCCCACAGGGGAAGTGTTATACATTTATAATAGATACATTTTGAACCACAACAACGCGTGGCGGGGTCTGCTAGTTCATTTAATATTTTGATGCACTAGAAATATTTTTTGTTTGTTAAAGATAAGCTTTCTTTTTTTTAATGTATTTTAAAATAAGAAACAGTATACATGTTATGTCAATAATTTCAGCTTCAATAGAATATATTTTAATAACTGCCTTTTATATTTAACAAACAATGTATTTCATTTATGCAATTTTGATTTCAGGGATATTTTCCAGGAAATGTCCATGTTGTATTTGTCTTGAGACCATTAGGATTCTTCCAGAAAGCTATATCTGAAGTCAGCAATAAATTTTTCAAGGAAGAATTTAGATTCAAGGTATTTACTTTCACTTATGTTTTCTAAAATATACAAATGCTCTATACTGCTATAAATATCTGACTGCCTGCTGATTTGTAAACAATCTTTGGAAAACTAGTAATGGATTAAGCTGTGATGCAAAATGGTATGACCTATCATTTATTGTGATGATGTCACAGTGTTCTCAGTTTTAGTAGTGATACATCATACTTTTCCTGTTAACAATAGAGCCATGCCAGTCATCTAACTCCATTCAGGAAAAAATTTTTGAATTGAAATAACGTGACTGGGTTTGCACAAGAAGTTCACATATAGTTAATTGGGGCCTCCTGCCACTACACTTTCCATACCTGGTCTCAACTTTCATCTATCTTACTCCATTCTCAAGATTAAGGAGGATACCAGTAGGAATTTAAAGGTCTACAATTTTTGAAAATTGTAGCCCAAAAATATTTACATGGTATTTTAGCTTTTATTCTCCAATATTAGCATCAATTTATCAATATTCATTCAATACTATATATTTTTATTTTAAATTTGTTGTTTTGCATAGATCTGAAACTTTTTTACTTTTCTCAGTCATCAGTTTAACTTTGAACTATTTGATATATGAAAGAAGAGATCATCCAAATGTGAGGCTCCGGAAGTGGGTCAAAATTCGTTCACGGAAAATATTTTAATTTTGTATGAAAAAAATTTTTATAATTATTAATCTTATTGTAAAAAGAAACTGTCAAACGCAAAATGAATATTTTATGTCCATATAAGGACGTATCTGTAAAAACTTCAAAGAAAGTCAAACTACTCAGGTTAAAACAATGGATGAATTTGAGTACTTAGATCGAACGTCTTTGATAGGAATCAAATTGTCAATTGGAGTTGACTCACCCTGCGATCTGGGCTCTGATCCCGTTACAATTCGTAATGAGGAGGGGGACCAATTGGAGAACGGGGGAAAGTCAACATCGACCTATCAGAATGTTCGATCTGGGACTTAGAAAAACTTATAAAAACTGCGCAAAAAAAAGGATGTGATGTTCTTGGTTCATAGTTCTTAGCCTTTGGTTCGCAGTGCTCCTCTCCAGGACTCTTGTCATCCGGACATTCTCCCATGAGAACTTGTCAGATATTCGGAGGACTTGTCTCCACCCTCTTGTGCCATCAAGATCGCTAAAAGTCTACCTTGTAGATAGAAGACCTCGGTTCAAATAGTGTTGTGCAGCCCGGAGTCGACGTCTTCATGCCTCCATCGCCGGAAGAAAAACTATCGTCAGAACAGTTGAACTTTTAGTGTTACGAACTTGTTGCTGAACTTTGGATAGGTGTTACGCCGTTTTAAGGATTTGTTATAAGAAAAATTTTTATATTTATTAAATGGTATACGATGGAGAACCTGTCTCAGTAAGTTTTTTCACTCCCACACGATAGTGCTGACCGCTCGACTGTCGCGATACTTTCTCCCCAATCGGCAAACCCCACACAAAAAAAGAAAATTCTAGACAGACCAGTATATTTTTAGGCATTTTTATCCTTAGATCAATCCATCACAAATAGTATGATTTACTTTTGAATTTCCGTCAGATGAATAAATTACTTTTTACAAATTAAAAGACAAAGTCGTTCTAAAAATATATATATTTTTTCAGACGATTACCATTTTTACAGAGTGTTCTAGAACAAAGTACAGACAGCTGGACCTTCCTTTTTAGGCTACACAACTGCCTATATTTAAAAAGTTCCTTAAAAAAACACAAAAAAAACCAATAAATATTAAGAAAAAATCTTCTTTAAAATTGGAATGGTAAATCTTACGACGTCTTGTTACTTCATCCTTATCCATTGGGTTTCTGGCTCTTTAGTCAGAAACCCAATGGATAATTTTAGCGATATATTTGAATATGTTGCTAAAATTCGTCACCAGAGGGATATCGGCGTAATCTACATTTGTCAGCGCTAATCCTCAGTAGATAAAGAGCCAGAAACCTAATGGATAAGGATGAAGTAACAAGACGTCGTAAGATTTACCATTCCAATTTTAAAGAAGATTTTTTCTTAATATTTATTGGTTTTTTTGTGTTTTTTAAGGAACTTTTTAAATATAGGCAGTTGTTTAGCCTAAAAAGGAAGGTCCAGCTGTCTATACTTTGTTCTAGAACACTCTGTAAAAATGGTAATCGTCTGAAAAAATATATTTATTTTTAGAACGACTTTGTCTTTTAATTTGTAAAAAGTATGATTTACATTATGGTACTTGTTATGCATTTGCTTTTTTGACAAAGATATGGGTCAACCCCAAAATACTGGAACAATGTAATAACACTTGATTGTCCAGGATATACATTTTGTATATCCTGGACAATCAAATATATAATTTTGCCCAAAATAAGATTTATAGAAGACCATATTATGAAAAATAGTCCATACTGTCATATTATTTAAATACTGAGGATAGTATAGTAAATATAGCAGTCTGTAAAAATCTATTCATGCATTCTTCTGATAAAATTTGGTTTTAAAAAAAATATTATTTAAAAAACACTTCTACAATAATGTAGAAATGTTCTTTTAAATATTTTGTAATGTTAATATCTTATTTTTGCTGACTTTAAAAGTTTTTAAATTTATGAGAAAATCATTTTCTGTTGTTTATATCTGTATTGATGACTATAAATTTATTGTAAAAATTATGAAAATATTTTAGTTCATAAATTAATTTAGTGAAAGAATTTCTTATAAATTAATTGTTCTTTATAAAAATTCTGTTATAAGTAGTCAAAATGACACATGACTTTATGTACTGTGATTTATTTGTTCTTTATCAAAAGCACCTGTTTAGATATTAAACTTTGAACTGTCATTAATTTATCAGATCTGGACAACATTAGATATAAACATGATAGAAATTTTTAAAAACATCTAAAGTTTAAAAAAGGCTATGATAAACAAAATTATTTATAAAACATAGAAAAAATAAAATAAAATGCATTTTAATATTTTTCATGGGGATCACAAGCATAGCTATCAGTAGAAGTTGACTGATCATAAGTCATTCAGTATTAGCAATATCATGGAAATTTTATATACCCATTTTCTTTGGAAGATTAAAGGGATGAGATACAAATTTACAATGTAAATCAATTGACATTTAACTGATAGATTAATCACTGTTTGTTATTTTAAGAAAGAACTTTTATAACAAAAATGTAGAAAAGCAGATAATAGATGTATTATTTATAAAAATAATTATTTTGGTGAATATTTAAAATTATCATGTAGTTTTTATTTGTTCATTATTAATATTGACACTTTAATATTATGCTTAAATTAGTATTTAACATTAATAATATAAAAGCCATCATCTGTGTGTTTGTTTGTTTGTTTGTTTGTGTGTGTGTGTGAATTCCTTATAACTCCTGCAATTTTTGTACAATCCAAATGAAATTTTGTTTTATGTTCTGATGGAAAGTATAGGCTATTTATTTTGCAGAAGTATTAGCTATAGAATAAATGTTTTATCTATTTTGGATTGGTGATCACACTCCAGTGCAGTGATGTCAGTGACTTCATTTAGTTAATGCTTGACAATGGAAATTTCCTTAAGTTGTATTATTTTGGTATATGACATATTTTTAAACTTACTTCATTGAATTTAAACTTTTAAAAAAGATAGCTACATTGTGTCACTTCTATAGCAAATTTTTAAAAAAAATCTTTCCATAGTGACCACATGACATTCTATTATCCAATCAGAAGTGACAATCCTGTTATTTAAAATGTATTATCATGCTTCAATTATGTTCTGATGGACAGTATAAACTGTTGAATTTAAAGAAATATTAGAAATTAATGATGATGGCTTTCACATTTCAAAAACTTCATAAAATTTTAATTGATTAAGGATTTCATACTTAAATTTCATTGTGGATAAAATTTAAGTATGAAATCCTTAATCAATATATTTAGCACAGTTTTAATTCATCATTCAAAAAAAGGAAAACTGTTAATTTTTTTGCTTGTCACTTAATAATTAATTTCTTAAATTTGTATATATTATTATTTTATATTTAATATGATCTGAGTCCAAAATAACAGACATATTTTGGTGTATTTTCTAAGAACTTCATATGATATGGTGTAATCATTATTGAAATGTGTAAATTATTCTCTAAAATTCAAAACAAATATACAGGGTGCGTGAAAAGTTCTGTCAATTCTTTGAAATACTTCAACAGTATAAAAATACTGTACAATATAGGCTAGTATGCTATTCACGCCAAGTAACATTAATTAGTAGTTAAAACTCACTGTGTTTAGCGTTATTACTCGTTTTTTCGTTCATTCGAGCGCTTTCGACGAATATATATTTCCGTCATCTTCAGGTGAATAAAATGTTTTAATCGAACATTAAAGTTTGATAGAAGAACACATAAATTTAAAATTAAATAATTTTTCATTCGATTCCGCAACGGTTTGAATTATGCGCGATGTTACGAATATGATGTAATACAGCGCATGCGTGGTACTGCTTCCTGTCAGTGACGTGACATATGATGTAACTCGCCGTTTAATCGCTTGTATAGGGCGATCCATGTATTTGGCAGCTCCAGAGTAGGTGTGTTGCACGTTTTGAATGATGTTATATATAGTGACTCCCATATATAGAGTAGTCTTCGGTCGTTGCATGCCCTGAGTATGGTGGAGTGGGCCCATAATGGGTTATAATTCATGTCGCACACTCTTCTTGCGAGCTCAGTGTTGCACCTTCTTTTTGCTATATCATCTTGGTGTTTGGTCATGTGGGTAGCCAACATTCTTGCTGTGGCCCCAATATATCTCGTGCTATTCCCCGTTACAGGATTTTCTAACGGAACCGCATAAATTCCTGACTTCTCAAGGGTGGAAAGCTTGTCTCGGTCATTGCAGAGCAATCTGTGCAAATTAGGTAATGGAGACAGGGGCAGGAGCAGACCATGTTGTTTAAATATGTGGCAAATGCGTAGAGAAAGCGGACCGAGGTA